CGGGAGGAGGTGAAGTCTTGTGTCTTCCTCTCTGACCCAGCCACAGGAGTAGCTCTGTCAGTGAGGTGGGTGGTGGGGAGTTAACCCCTTTGTCTTCTCTTCCAGTATTGTGTGTGTATAGACGACTGCTCCTCCAGCAACTGCATGTGTGGCCAACTCAGTATGCGCTGCTGGTATGATAAGGTGAGGACACAGAACCCCCTCTTGGCTTAGACCAGCTGAACTTTGTGCAGTTTTTGGGGTTACAGGAGTACTTTTGAAACAGTTCCTTGCACAGCTTCTCTCTTTTTGCTTTAAAATGCCTGGAGTTGCAGTCTCAGCTTTGAGATGGATGTGATGGTAACAGAACGTGTACTCAGGGAAGCTTTTCTAGCATTATTTATTTGTGTTTCTGTCATGCCAACTGAGCCATTAATTACACCCATGTGATAGAGAGCATTTAATAATCCATGTGTGAAAACAGCTCCCATTTCAGAGCAACACAGAACACGCTGTAATATGTAAACAAGGAGAGGGTAATAGAGACATTTTTTTTTTGCCTCCTTTTATTTGTTGTGATCCTTCTGGATGAAGGCAAAGTAAAGATGTTTTAACTGCAGCATTGCCAGAAGCCTGGTTTGTTTTGGGTAAGTGCGTGTCAGTCCTCCAGGGAGGCTTTGAGGTTAGCTTTTGGACAGGTTCTGCTAACATCAGAAGTTCTGTGAATCTCTGCAAGTTTCTCCCAGGGGGAATATTGGCATCTCTCTTTGGTTTGTAGCCATTTGATTTGCACGTTAATAGGTGATTATATCTTTTAAACCTCAAAAGCCAAATTTGTTAGATATGATTAACAGTGTCTATCGCTTCCTTAATCCTATATGGTTGGTAAATTATTGGATTGTAGCTTTTTTAGGAGTGTGATTTGGGAGCATAATGTGATTCACAGAACTTGAGTGTATTGGCCTTGTATTCTGGAATTTTAGGCTTTATTCCAGAGGCAGATAAGGCATCCACTTCTCCCCCTCTCAGCACTGCAAAATGATAACAGTGATGATGCACATCAGGTTTTTTGCACAGCACTGTAAAATTTTTATTATTTTTTAGATAGTGCCTAGAGTGATGTCAGGCAGCAAAACTGGAGACACTCCCTTGCTGTGTGTCAGCTGTCAGGGGTAGTGGTGAGCCTACCACAGTGTGGGGTGGAGCAAAACCACTGCAGAAGCTGAGGTCTGATGCTGGTTTTGTGGGGAGGTCGGGTCACGCCTCCACCTTGGGGTTCTCTGGCCCGTTTCTGCCCTCGGGGGAATTTCTACCCTTGGTTTGGAGGCGGTCCCAGGAGCAGACACCTAACCCAGTCTTGAATGCCTCTCCTCCTCAGGACGGCCGACTGCTGCCCGAGTTCAACATGGCTGAGCCACCACTGATCTTTGAGTGTAACCACGCGTGCTCGTGCTGGCGAACCTGCAGGAACCGCGTGGTGCAGAACGGGCTCAGGTGAGAAGGAGGATCCAAACTTGGCAAGACCAACACCAAACTCAGGAGCTTTCTGGCTTTCTAGTCTCAGCTCACCCATAAACCCACAAAACCCCAAGACTTCCTGAGATGAGACAGAAGTTGGGGCAGGTGCCACCACGCAGTGGTGGAGTGCAAGTGGGTTCCTGCGTGCTGCTGGTGGGACTGAAGCAGCAGCAGGTTGATGAGCTCTGGTAATAAGTGCACCCTGTCCCTGTCACGTGGGAACTGCAGTGTTCTTTCATCAGCCTGACCTTAAAACATATAAATGGCTTGTGGGTTTGCATGAGCAGCCTAGATGTAACTTCTTGGGTGGAGATCTGTGAAGAAAATAACAGCAACAGAAACTGCAAAGCCTTAATTTAGAAGATCTTCTAAGTTAGCAACCTATGTTAGAAACACAGGCCAGCATGCCCAGGCTTGGCTGCTTAAAATTTCCAAGTTATTGGCATGACTGCCCCTGAATTAGGTACCTGGATGCCTGTTGGCCTATGGATCAGGCTGTGAGAATTTTGGTGCCAGGCTGAAAATGCAATTAATTAAGTGTTTTGGTTTTGACCTCTGGTGTGGAGAATTTTGCCACTGTGCTAAGATCCAAGGAATCCCATTGGAAAAAAAAGACTTTTGCAAATTTTTTTGTTGTACTGATAACACTTTTTTTTTTTTGCAAGCTTTGTAGTTTCAATGACATTTTGCAACATTAAAAATAAGTAAGGAAGAAGCTTGATGCATTTCCAGAGAACTTTGCCTCTCTCTGGTTTTCCCTGCCAAGCTCCAGAGCTCCGGTGTGGACGTGGGTGTTTATTTAGGAGCTGTACAGCTAGAGCTGTTGCTTCTGCATTTTTGTCTCTCTGAGTGTTTCTCTGAAAGACAGGAAGGGTTGGAGCCACGAGCCTGGGAGAGCAGCTCTGTGGGGAAGCTGGCAGCAGGGTCAGGGGCTTGGCAGAGCTGTGCTGGAGGTCCCTGGGAGGCCGTGGAGGAAACCTCCTGCCTTTGGGCTGCAGCGTGACTGACACTTGGGTGCTCCCACTCCATTTTCAGTGCTTCCTTTATCAGATTTGCTCCAGATTACCTCCACTCAGCAGCACACACGTTCCCATCTGGCAGGCTGAGCCAGGTCGGTCCTGCTGCTGCTGGTGTTGATCCTGAGAGCAGAGCCTGAACCTGGGCTGGGCTCTCTGCTTTGCTGATGGACGAGGCAAAGCATGGGGGAGCTTCCTCAAGTCTGAAATACAGTGGTTATAACTGGTTTCTTTGAGCACAGTCATTCCCATGAAGTCATGTTTTTCCCTGGTGAGGGCTCTGGGAGCTGTGAGAGAACGCATGGCCCTTGGTTTGAGCTGAGGGTGCAAGGAGGGGATGGGTGGGGGAAAAAAGTAGTGGAAAAAGCAACAGGGTGAAGTTAAGGTGAGCATGTGGTTTCTCTTTATTCTGATGACAGTGTTGTTGAGAGTGGGATTTGGTTCCCTCAGGGACAGAGCCCTGGAGACCGTTCATCCTGCACTTAACTCAAGTCCTGGCTGAGCAGGAGGCAGAATGACTTACAGGATTGTTTCTCTGCCTATAATCTCCATCAGTAAAATTCCACAGAGTAGCTATTACAACAAGAAGCTTCAAGTTGCAACGTTTCTTCCTTGTCTTTCAGCCAGGGAGCTGGATATGATGGAGCTGCTAAATGCACTGGCCTCAGCAGAGGGCAAAGGGATCAGAGCACTTAGCTCAAGGTGTTCTCTGTTCACCCGAAGCTCCTGGCCTTCCCCCTCCAGCACCCCTCCCTGCAGAGCTACTCTGCCTGAAGTCCCCTTTCCCCTTCCCTGCCTTCCCCTGAGTGCCAGCCCTGTGCACACAAGGGAAGAGAAATGCTGGTGGTGAGATTCTGGTATCCTACATGTAAATCCTCAGTGGTGTAACCACAGAGGGCATCGAGTCCCCTGCCCGCTGCCCGGGCCCCGGGCGTGCGCCTGGCAGGGTGCAGCTGGGCAGGGCGAGGGGCTTGGTGGGCACCCATCCCCTGTGCTCAGCGGGAGAGCCGGGGGGGCTGAATTTGGGAACCCCCCGAGCCTGCTGGCAGCAGATCCTCAGCTGGCCCCCCAGCCCCGGCGCTGGCTGCGGCCGCCGCCCTCAGCACGGCCGCCCTGCCTCTCTTCCAGGGCTCGGCCGCAGCTCTACCGGGCCCGTGCGGACGACGCAGGACATCCCTCTGGGAACCTTCGTGTGCGAGTAAGTTCCTCAGCTCTCAGCAGCTCACCCCAGCCCCTCGCTGCCCGGGGCGTGCTCCTCTTTGAGGAGAGCTTGTCACCCAAATCCAGCTGGAACCGAGCTGAGCTGCTTGCCCTCAGCCAGAGCTTTCCTGCCTCTTTCCTGCTCTGTTTGTCCTTCCCCTCGCGGCTTTCTCCACCCCTGCTCACCTCTCGTACCCCTCTGAAACACAAGCCATGGGGGGAAAAAAACACATCTGGGTCATGCTGCAGACGTGCTCACGTGTTCACCACAGAAAGGGGACACTGAAGGCCAGGACAATTTGGAACAACTTTTTTCATATAGGATCCTTCTCTGTTTCAATACCCGAGAGGTCTTCCAGTGTCACAGTGCTGGATTTAGTCTGATTCAGCAAAACAGTGAAGCCCTTGGCGTTGAGCACATGTTTCGGCCCTGGTTCAATAAAGTACTTAAGAACAAAAATGCTCAGATTTATGTCAGGAGAAAAGAACTGCTGTTGAACCCCACCGGTTTTAGGCTTTAAAGTGGCACATGTATTTTATGAAATATTTTGGAAAGTGTTTTCTTCCTTGCAATACTGCAGTGACTTAAGGCCTTCTAAATAAGTCTGGGACTTGTGCTCTTCTTGGAAATAGGTGCTGGGAGTTTTTAGAACTAGCTGTTAATGTTTTCTAGAATTGGGGCAGGGGATTGAGGAAGATTATTGCAGAATTGAAAAAAGAAAAAAGTGGGGAAGAGAAAAATCTGCAGTGAATTGGCCAAGTATTTCTCCCACGTCAAGAGCTGCCACATGATAAAATATTTTTTTCAGAGGTAAAGCTTAAAACTGTGGGAAATGAGCAGGTAGTTGCCTCATATGGCAGTTGTTACTCTGCTTTGGGAGAAGGATAACTATTGGTGTAAGGATGGATTTTATTCCATAATTTTTCACATATGCCCACATGGGGGACAAATCTGGAATAGTTCTTACAACACTTTTATTCAGCAAAACTCTGCTGGTCCTGACTGTTCCTGTGTGTAAATGCCTTTCTTACACACATGCTGCTTTTCAGCTCGCTCCATCCTTCCCATGCCTTTCAGCTTTTCTCTGTAATCACTCCAAGAATGGTTTCCCTTTCTATTCCTGCTTGCAGGCTGTCCCCCTGGCAGCCCACAGCAGCTTCTGCGGGGAGCGGTGAGCAGTGCTCAGAGCAGTTTGGCAGCTGGGAGCAAGGCTGTGCCAGTGTGGTGACCAGCCAGCCCTCCCACTATCATCTCCAGGGCTTCCCAGACCCTTCAGCTTCCCCAGACCCTCCTACTAACACCCTGTGGGACCTTCAGCAGCATCCTGGAAGAGCAGCTTAGTGAGGGGAGATGCAGCAGCAGCATCCTCCCTGCCTTGCCAGGCTCCCAGGGAGTTTTTAGGCTTCTCCACTCACAGATGCTCTGGAGACTGAAGTGCTCAGTGCAGGTTTCTCCCTGAGCTCTGAATTTGTGACTGCTCAGAAGCTGCTGTTACTCACCCTGTGCTGATGTTGCTGTGGGATGTTCTGAATCTGTTCTGTGCGTGCTTGGTTGGTAGGTGGTGTAACTGCTCATCCTGGAAGTGGCACAGCTGGTTAAGGGCTTTACTGGAAGGGCTGTGAGGTAGTGGGGTGTGGAAACCAGAGGTTCCTGAGGGTCTGGTCTGTTCTTCCCAGGGCATGTCCAGTGCATGGCTTTCAGATACTTCATTTCTGTACAAAACTGGGGTGCTGTAGTAAGCTGCCATCTGCATTGAGCCAGATGTTTCAGCCACACCTTCAGCCAGGGCAGCTCAGGGTGTCCAGTCTCCCACAGCCCATGGAGAACCCTGGAGCCTGTGCTGGGGACTTCTTGTTGCTCTTGGGTTTTGCACAGAGTGTGCTCTGGTCTGTGGTGATGAGTGGCAGTGTAAAGCTCTGAGATGGGCTTACTTGCCATCACCATGCTGAATTCTTGCTGAGAAGAAAGACTCTGGCTTGATTTTGTGAGTTCTTCAAGGCAGGGTCTGATTCCCTTGCTCTTTTTTGGCTAGGGACACGTACCTCTTTCACATCCTTCCATGAGTTTGGATGTGGGGAAATCAGGGAACTGTTTGCATCTGTAAGCAGTCCTGGAAAGGAAATGAGTTATGGGAATAGTCTTTTAAGGAACATCAACCCAACAATTTGTAATTAGATTGTGGGTTTTGGTTTCAGTGAGCTGTAAAGCAGCAGTGGCTGTCCCTGAGCACAGCACAGGGTTGTTCAGCTGGTTCTCAGCTGCCACCAGCCACGCTACAGCAGTTGCTGAATTTGTGCAGCAATCTCTGGCCATCACCTTCCTATGGCTTCAGGTCACCACTGAGTGTGTGATTTCCAGTAACCCCGTGGCCTCACGGGAGCACTTGGTAAATCACAGGCTGTGGTGGGGCAAGCAGGAGGATCCCCGTGGCAGCAGCCTTGGCAGAGCAGCTTGGCCAGACTGCTGGGCGTTGGGAACTGCAGCCAAGTGATCCCTTGTCCCAGAGCACATGGGGCCTCTCCAGGTTACACTCCTCTTCCCCAGCCTGGAGTTAAATGCTGCCTTCAGCCCCAGCAGGAGGTGGACACGCTTGGTTAAGGGTTTGAAGGTGCCTGGAGAGCTGCAGAGGAGTGCTGTGATAATGGCTGCTCATCACGGGAGGCTCTGCTGATGCTGTGAAGAATATTTGTATTGTGAATCCTTTGCTTATCATTAATTAGCATTGCATTGCAGGCTGGGAAGACTTAGATACCACAATCTGCTGCCCTGTTGCTTCTTCCAGCACTGTGCCAGGCTGCCCAGGGCAGTGGTGGAGTCCCCACCCCTGGAGGGGTTTCCAAGCTGTGGAGATGTGGTGCTGAGGGACACGTTTTAGTGAGGACCTGGCAGTGCTGGGTTAACAATTGGACTTGATGATTTTAAAGGTCTCTTGCATCCAAAATGTTTCTATCATTCTTCTCATCTCCTGCCTCTGGCTCAGCACCTTTCCTCCTGTGTCTCTTACTTGCATTGCAAGCAAGGAAATGTTGAACTTTGACTGTCCAAAGCTATTTAAGATGGAGATGGGGAGGCAAATGTGGGAAAACTAGTTCAGTGGGGACTCCTGCAACAAGGGGGTTTGCATCCAAACCAGCATCTGCCTGGGGGGTGCATGGTTCTGGGTGTATTTAGTCTTTCTCAGCGAGCCAGGCCGAGCAGCACATGCCTCATGGTGCTCAGAGGACCTGGTTGGTTCTGCCTTGCACCTGGTTTTACAACAAGGTGGTTGTTGCTGGGCTCACAGCTCTGATTTATTGTGGTTTGAGAGAGACTGAGAAAGAAGCGTAGACTTCTAGATCTGAAGAATACTGAGAAAGATCCCCAAATCCTTCCAGGGATCCTGCCAGGTTAGGGTAGACCTAAGGCTTTTAGAACAAAACCTTTTAAGGTCTGTAGCCTGTGTAATTGGTCAAAATACCCTGGAAGATACAGGAAGGAGAGGCACAAATGTTTTACTTTGGGATGAGGACAGCACAAGCACTGCAGTGCTGTATGGAAGAGCCAGGGCTTGAGTCTGACCGTGAACATAAGGAGAATTGGATTAATGTGTTGATCTTGGCCAACAAAGAGATTTGTAAGAGGAAACATAGTCCTCAGGAAAAAGTAAATTTTGTTGGAAGTAAGGCTCCAATTTTAATATTAAAAGTGTTGCCCTGAAAAGATGGAGCTTGGAGCCAGATTTTAGCTGGTGTGAGTTGGCAAAGCTCGGTTTGCCTGGGTGGCTCTGAGGTGACCAGCAGTGTGAAGGCTCTGGGTTGCCACCTGGCCCTGGGCTGTGTCCTTTTCTTTCCCTTGTCCCAGAAGGAGATGTTTGACTGCACGAGCATCTGACTCCTGCCTGTGCTGTTTGCCCACAGGTACGTTGGTGAGCTGATATCCGACTCCGAGGCAGACGTCCGTGAAGAGGACTCCTACCTCTTCGACCTTGACAACAAGGTACTGTATCTGAAGGTGTCCAACCAGACAGAGCCAAGGTCTCACCCCTCCAAAAGAGCAAAGAGAGCATTTGTCTCCATCTTGATGTCCAGCATGATCTGAAAGCCTGCAGAGAGGAGGAGCCGCGTCCTCCCTGTGCTTCACTCAGCATAGAGGGGTTGAGGGAAGGCTTGGGGCTTGTTAAAGTGCTGTCAGAGCCCAGCAGTGCTGGGCCACCACTGGACGTGCTGCCCACGCCAGTTTTGATGCAAGATGTTCTTCTGTCAAAACCATTTGGGCATCCTGAGTTCAGTTGTTTAGTTTTTGCTGCTCAAGGGTGTACGTGTGGGTTTGCAGCGCTGTGGAGTGGCAGCTCTGTAAGTTCCTCATAAAAAAGATGAGCTGGAAGACTCAGAAACCCCTGTTCATTTATAAAGGGACCCATCAGGTAGCCTGGTGGGGACTGGAGGCTTGTTCTGCTGGTAGTTCTGTGGAGCAGAAACCATGCTTTGAAAGTGTGATCTAAAGCTTTTAAGCAAGGCCATCACTTCAGACTTCACTTGTGACAGGAGGAGAGGAGAAAGGTGAGCTGAGGACTCCAGGGAGTGGGGTGGTTTCCAAGGAAGGCTGCAAAACAGTCGCTGTCTTCTTTCTGTCATCAGCTAGTGAGGAAGATGCTCTGCTTTGTATTTTTGACTGTTTATTTTTTAAAGCAACACACCATCAACAACTGAAAAAACATAACTAGTCAGCCTTGGGGCCAGTCTGAAAGCAGCGAGGTCAAACTGCAATTAAGAACTTGAAAAGCAGCAGGGACTTCAACCTGGTTTTGGGTTTTTACCAGCAAGAGCCCACGTGAGCCTTGCCTTTAGGTTAGCCCTGGGCTCGCTGCCTAGAGGGACAACCTCTGTTTATGAAACCTCCAGTGAAGCAAGGAGGGAAACCTAAGCACAGGCATAAGCTTAGTCTTTTTTCAGGGTATCTTCAAAGTGAAGTATCTGCAGAAAACCAGGCACCAAGTCATGGAGTGATCATTAAAAGAAGCCCATGAGGCAGGGCAGAGCCAGCCAGGTCCTGTAGCCTCCCCAGGGAAGAAATTTTTCCTGATATCCAACCTAAACCTCCCCCAGCACAACTTGAGGCTGTTTCCTCACATCCTATTGATTATGACTTTGGAGATTAGACCAACACTTCATCTCACCCCAGGGCAGGTTCATGGTTGCTCTTTGCCCTCTCTGGTTGCCACTGTGTGACTTAGATCCCAATAACCTCATAGCAAGGTGGGAAACTGTTTTGGACTTGCCCTCCTCAGCAGCTTCACCGTGAGGATGCTGCCTGTGTTGGTCAAGGCAGCAGGCTCCTTTCCTGAGGAACACATCTTGACTTGGATGGTGGAGAGCTCAGCTCTTCCCAGATGGTCACTAGATGCAGTAGTGGGTGATGTTGTCCTCGCCAACCGTGGCATTTCCATGCATGGAAGTGAGGGGGTGATGGGAATGGCTTCCAATTAAAATGAGAGCTGGTAGCACTGTGTGTGGTGTGGGACCATGTGGGGTGACACCTCCCCCAGTCGCTGGGACATCTTCCCTGGGCTGCTGCAGCAGTTGGGTGGTGTGAGCTGGCACAGCTCGTCCATTAGCGACTGCGAGGTGCTTGCCCAAAAGGGAGTTTGAGCACCACTAATGGAGCCTTTTGCTTTTGGCCTCTTTGCAACTGAAATTAGCTTCTGTAATTAAAGTCTCTGCTTTGCACAGTCATTCTCTGCTGCAATAAAAAAGCCCTGTGGGGGGTTCTTTTATATTCAAGGAAAACAAAATATTACTGCTCTCTGGAAAGGGAATTTCTGTGTTCTCACTTTCACTTTTATCTGCAAAAACTTGGGTTTTCTCAGGGCTCTAGCTTTGTCTTTCCTGGCTGCCATCTTCAACGAGAGGACAGAACAGATGCTCGTCCCTCTGTCTGGTGGCTTCACCCAGAAGGTGTCTGTCTGCACCACCCATCAATCCCACGACACCAAACTGGTGCTTTAGTGGAGGGGGGCTGGGGGAGCTGCTGTGCCCGCCGGCAGCGGGGGCATTTTCAGAGCTCTCTGTGCTCATAGGGGCAGGGTGCCCTGCTGAAAGGGGCAGTTCCAGGGTGCTGCTGAGCCTCCAGGTGTGTGTGGTTAGTCCTGAAGCTCAGGGGGTGTGCTGCCCTGGCAGCTGTCCCTCCTGGAGCTCCCCAGGGCACCAGTGGGACGAGCGGCGGCTCGGCCGTTTGCTGGATTTAAACAAGCAGCAGCAATACTGATCCTGACCTCGCCTAACGAGAGCCACGGTGTTTCTCCCCTAGGATGGAGAGGTGTACTGCATAGATGCCCGTTTCTATGGCAACATCAGCCGCTTTATAAACCACCTCTGTGAGCCAAACCTCATCCCAGTGCGTGTCTTCATGTCGCACCAGGACCTGCGCTTCCCCAGGATCGCCTTCTTCAGCACCAGGCACATAGAGGCCGGAGAGGAGATCGGGTAGGTGCTGTCCCAGGGCCAGGAGCCACTGCCCTGCTCCAGCAAAGGGTGGAGTGCAGGGGGATGAAGCTCTGCTCCCACCCTGGTTCCCTCCAGGGGGATGAAGCTCTGCTCCCGAGCTGGTTCCCTCCATCCCTTTGCTCTCCAGGCCATGCCCCCAGCCGCGGTTCCCCCCCGGGGGATCCCACAGACCCTCTCCATGCCCCGAAGCTTTGCAGATGCTGCCCTGTGCTGACCTCTGTCTCTCTTTTGCAGCTTTGACTACGGAGACAGGTTCTGGGACATCAAAGGCAAATACTTCAGCTGTCAGTGCGGTTCACCCAAGTGCAAACACTCGAGCTCAGCGCTGGCCCAGCGGCAGGCGAGCACCTCGGCCCAGGACACGCAGGAAAACGGGCTCCCCGACACCAGCTCTGCCAGCTCTGCCACGGCAGCCGGCCCCTTTTGAGGCTCTGCTCCCCAGAGACTGACTTGTTTTAACCCTATAGATTCACATACTGTTTGAATTTCCATTTAATGAGAAAAAAAATCCCAACAAAATCCCTAAAAAAAAAAAAACAAAACAAACCCAACAGCCCCGTGCTCAAGGAAAGCCAAGGGTTCGTGACACTTAGGGCTGTGCCACCGACTGTTACTTGAGGAATAAGTGAAAGCAGACCCCACCTCTGTGATGTTTTCTCCCCTCCCCGGCCCTGGAGAGCTGCTGGTTTGCACAGCTGCTTGTGGAGGGGCGGCTGTCGCGGTTTTTTGGCTGTCCTGGCCTTGTCTCTTCATGTGCTGAGTGTTGTCAGAGCCCAGGGAGAGCCGGTCGTCCTCCTGCGACTGCTCTTAACTGAATGGCTCGCTCATGCCAAGTCATCTCCAGTTCACTTGGAATAAACTTTGAGTACTTGATGGGACTTTCTTTCTACAAGCCATGGGGGAGCGGGGAGGGAGAAGGGGAGGTGCTGGCCTTTGGGTTTGCTCGGCACAGCCCCGGGGCAGGTTCTGCTGGTTGGTTTGTTTGCTCTGTCTTGGTTGGTTTATTTTTTTTATTGTTGTTGTTATCGTTATTTTTTTTTTAACCATTAATTTCTCCCACATCTCACAGGACATTGTGGTGGGGCCTTTCCCTAGGAGCTAGAGGGCATTTCTAACCCGTACCCTCCTTGTTACCAAATCCAACGGCTTTTCTTCTCTCCTGATGAGAAGAAACCCACGGTCCTCCAGATCCCTTTGATCCCTGGCTCTCTCTGGAGCCTCTTCCCCATAGACCCCGTTCCCTCCCAGGCTTCCTCGGGGACAAAGCAGCTCTGGGCCCTGCCCCTGTCTCCGTGCCGGGCTCATCCGTGGAAGGATCTCCCTCGCCCCGCCGCGCTAGGCAGGGAAGGCTGAAGGGGGTTGTACAAGACACTAACTTCTTCAGAAATGCAGGTGGTTTGTTGTTTTATTTTTAAAAAAAAAAAAGCAAATGGTGAAGTATATATCCTAGAGAACCTCGACTCGCAGCTGCCAGCTGGGGCCAACAGCAGACAGGACATGGCACGGCGAGAAGACCCCAGATGCCACCAGCTCGCCTGTTCCCATCACTTTTCTCAACGCTGGGCACCTTGGATTCATTTTTAAGCCACATTGCTTAGGAGGTTTCAATAAACCCGATTTATTTTTTACCATGACCGAAACATTGGGGACTAGCATTAAAAAAAAAGAGGAAAAAAAAAAAAAAAAACAGGAAAAAAAAACACAGGAAAAAAAAAAACCAAACACAAAACGACAAAAAGAAACCACAAAACAAAACGGTGCTGATTCTGGTGTGATTTTTTGCTCACCACGTGAATATAAACTATCAGTTGTATAAAAAGAACAAAGTGATTTTAGTATAAAAAATGCAGGAAAAAAAAAACAGAAAACTTTTTTCTAAATTGTTAGTATTGTAGTGTGAATAAATTTGCCATCACCTTTTGTGTGGTGGCCGGGCAGGTCATTATCTTAATTTTTTTTTTTTTTTTTGCATATTATCTTTAAATACTGTAATTAGTGCAGTAACAGTTGGTTTTTTTTTTTTGTTCATCTCTTCTAGAACATTCATAATGCCGTCATGTTTATTATTATTATTTTTTTTCTGTTCATGTTTTTGACAGTTTTAAAGGAGCAGTCTTTTGGCTCTGATCATTTTCTTGTTCTGTTTTCAATGAAACCAATAAAAAAAAGAAAAAAAAAAGTGCTTTAAAAGAAGTTTGGTCTTTTTATACCTACTGGGCTGGGGTGGAGGGGTGTTGGTGCTGAGACCTCGCAGCCTGGGGCTTGAAAGGAAAATGAGGAAAGCAAAAAAAACAACGCCAAATGTTGCATCCTTTCAAGCAGGGGAAAAGAAACCTGACTCTGCTCCTTGGTCAGAGGGGGTTTGGGTTTGGTTCTTGCAGTTTGTGTAATCCTTGAGTGTTCTGCTTGGGAGCAGAGCTGGTCCCCACGGCCCGTGATGCCTCCTCATCACCTGCATGGAGGCAATTAAATCAAATTAAATATAAAAGGCCAAAGAGAGGGATGAGGGGAAGAGTCTACCTGCAAGCAAACCCCGGGGAGGTTCTCTATCATGGGTGGTGAGGAGGAGCCGCGGGGCTCCGTGCAGCTCCGGCCAGGGCAGGGGCTGGGTTTGGGGGTAAAAAAAAAACATCCCTGGAGGGGAGTGCCAGGGGTTCCCCCCAATGCCCCGGGTGCCAGGTGGGGGCTGCTGAGGCGGGGTGACTAAGCACGGCCACCGCTCGCCCTCGCCGTCCACCCGCGTCGGGAAGAGGCAGCTCTGAGTCACTGCCAGGGATAGCTCATGAGAAGATTCAGCACTGGTGGGAAGAGCCCGGCCCGGTGCCAGCCGGGGGTGGGAGGAGCTGGGGGGGCCTCGGCCACGGCCTCGCCCACCTCACAGGAGCCCCAGGGGTGCCCTCCTCATCCTCGCTCCCGAGGTGGTGGGATGCAGCGTCTGTGGGTTGGGTCTGGTTGGTGGGAACTGGTGGGAGAGTGAGCAGGACCCTTGGAGACACCCACGTGCCCTCACACACCGTTTAACGAGAGGCTAATGCTAATTACAATCATGCGTGCCAATATTGCATAATTAAAGATGATAATGAAACTAATAGGCTGTAATTGAAGGTGAGAAGTGGAAAACCTCCAGAGAAATCTGATCTCCCAATGTAACTGTCCCCAAACCAGCTGTTTCCCTGGGGTTAAGGTGGGAAACACCCATGTTTGTGGTAGTGCCTGGGGGTCACACACTGCTGGTCCTGAGCCCCTGGGCTCGGGGTGCAGGGGCAAAGCCACCTCAGCCACTCTGCCATCCCCACTCACCTGGGGCCAGTGCCTTGTGGAGATGCTTCGTTTCCAAGGATGTGACAATATTAACGTCACGATTTTCCCTGCAGCTAAACTGCTCCATCACTGACTGAGGGTCCTGCACAGCCCGGGCTGCCCGAGGAGGTGTCTGTAGCTCTGATCTTCCTCTGGTTGAAGTCAGAGCTTTGTTTTCCTTCAATGCAGCATCTGCTGCAGGCTTTGCTTTCAAGCCATGAGACCTCGCAGCTTGCCCGAGGGTGCAAAGAACCCTTCAGGCCTTCAATGGCCCTTCCCCAGGGATTTTGGCACTGGGCACACGGTGCTTTGGGATGTCCCTGTGGTCACACAGCACCCTGGGGAGTGGGGCAAGGGGTGGATGAAGGATTTGGGTGCACAGCTGAGCTGTGGGGGGTTCTTGTTCAGCATCCTGCCCTTGCCCACGTGGCTGGGAGGAGGGTAACAGGGCAAAAAAGCCGATTTTATAGAGCTGGAGGGGACGCTGCTCTCCTTCCACGTGTGGGGCATCCCTGCTCCCCTTCCTCTTCCCACTGGTCCTCCCCCAGTGGAGGCTGGGGACCCTCAGGCCGTGGTGGGGCTGCACTGAGCTGTGTCCTGCAGGACAGGGTCCCACAGCCCTTTTTGGGGTGCTGCACTCACCTGCAGCTCAGGACTCTTGTGGGGAGGTCGTGTTAATTCACTACAGGAGCAGGGCCGGGCAATTCGAGGTGCCCCGTTGGGGAGCTGGGCTGTGGTGCTGAGCTGGGCTCCTTCATGCCCACCTCCCTCCTGCACCCCGCTCCCAGTGGGCATCAGGCCCCTGTGGCTATCGGGGGCATCGTGCAGGGGGCAGTGCCCTGCTCTGGGTGAGACAGGGATGGGTCAAACCCTCTGCACACCAGCGGGTGGTGGAGCTGCTGAGCCCGTGCTGGCTCATCTCCTCAGGGGCTGCTGGGCATGGGGGGGGCTAGAAAGGCACCCAAAAGGCAGCACCCATCGCCCTGCAGCTGAACTGGGCCAGCAAAGCCATGAAATTACCCCAAAATATTGGAGCTGATCTGGCTTCTCCTCTTTACAGTCTCCATCTTCATCCTGCAGCGCCGACCTCCCTCGCCCAGGAAACGTGAGTGAGGGTGATGGTTTTCCTGCAGCCCCGGAGCCACAGGTAGGAGTTAAAACATTTCTAACACTCTGATTTCTGAGCCTTTGCCAGAGCTGGGGGAAATATTAGTTTATCTCCCTGATAGCACAGAATATTCCCTCGGCTGCCAAGCGAGCTCCCGTATCGCACGTTTAATTTCCTTTCTGGTGCTCTGGGGCAGGATGAAGGGCAGGGGGCTGCTGCTGTTGGCAGGTTTGGTGCCCTGGCTGCTGGTGGGAGAGCCTCACGCCGGGCTGAGGTTCAGGTTTAGACTCTGCAGGCAGGATGGGAGCGATGGAGCAGGCGAGGGGAGTGGTGTTGGTGCTGGGAGATTGGGCTCAGCCCCCGCGTCCCGTCCCAGGCAGCAGCACTAAGGACTGAGCACCCAGACAGTTGGGAGATTAATTGCTTTAATTGGGAGGTTGAACAAGGTCAGCCCCACGCCAGAGTTTTCCCTGACTCTGCCCATGCTGTTTGACCCATGTGAGAGGCATTAGAGGACTTGGTAGGTGAGTGGTGCTGAGCAGCTGCTGGAGCTCCCACGTTGCTGGGCAGGAGACATGGAGGGAGATGTCCTGCTGGATGTGCCCGTGTGCCATGGAAGGTGGCAGCACCCATCAGCCCGGCCAGGGAAGGACACAGTGGTGCCCAGAGACACCAAAGCCTCAGCTCCCATGCCAAGGAGCGCCCGGTGCAATGTGCTGCTCCTGTGCAGGATGTGGCTCAGCAACCCCAAACCCCGGCCCCAGCTACTGGGGGATTTGGACCCAGCCTGGTGACAGGGAGCCCTGGTAGCAGGGGAGTGTCCCTGTGCCTGGAAAGTTTGTATTTACAATGAATAAATGCTGCCTGGACCCTCTAGGTTGGGTTGGGAAGTGGAAGGAAGGAAACCCAGTTAACAAGAGTGTCCCCACCATGTTGCACCCTGATTATCACATGCTCAGCACTAGCAAAGGAGGCCAAAACATCTTACTGACCAGCTCTTCACCATGCCTTCTCTTGGAGGGCTGAAAGGTTTGCAGGTACCTAAGATTCAGGCTTTGTTTTTTTTGACCTTGCCCCCTCCCTAGACCTGCTGGAACC